CAAATTGAGAAGATAGATTACCACAATATACTTTATATATGACATTATGGAGATTGAAGGTTGGACTAAAGTAGTAGGCCATCATAGTAAGTTGCATTTGGCAGAACAAATACCATTCTATGCAAGACCGAAGGGCTAGTGAATAGATATTTAATCTTCAAAACGATTATGGCTATTGGATAGGAAGAGAAAATGGGGAATGAGAATTACCGCTGAGCAAGAGGCTTGGTCAAGATTAAGAGACTCTTCAAAAGCCTGTTTTTCTAGGTAGATCATAGAGGAGTTTGATATCAAGTGTATGAGATGTATTTACCCTATTTCGTTTCCATTGGATCTCACAGCCTTGCTTTCCCAAGAGGTATTATCATCCAAGGTGGACTCCAGCGCGAGTTGAACCATGACAGTGCAGCGTGCAATATCAACACGGTAACCACTACGCCAAATTGCCACGAGTGTCCTTGGGTCACAGGGCAGATATATACATTTCAAGGAAAGCCAACTATTTTCTCGATCACATTCATTGGTTGGATTGTCGATGAAGCAAGGTCCTATTTGCTATGACAATTGACTATATTACTTATTTTCCGTTCATAAGTAGTGTCGAGACTACCAGTAAATCAGTTAGTTATATGAAATGTGTTCATCCTATTTCGTATAAGGTGATGAAAAAATATAAAAACGAAAAATAAGTGATATCAAATATGCCTATATTATTGTAAGGCTATCGTGGAGAAATTATTATATAAAAAAGCGTAATACAAAAATAAAGAAGAAACATCATCAGAGAAGATTAGAATATTGGTGAATTCTCGTAAGAAATGTCGAATAATAAATAAAAGCAATACGCTATATTATGCCAGATATTTTAAAAGTTTTTAGTAAAACTTAATGCAGCTCCAATAAGGCAAAATATTAGGGATTTAATTTTAAGAGCCCTTATACTATATTTGAATTGGCCGACTAATAGGATGTTTACTATGTACTTTCGAGTTTTTAATGCTTTTGTCCATAGAGTACTACTCGGTGTATAAAATAAAAAAGGAAGTATTAAAATCTTCTTTGTGATTTACTAATAAAGCTAATTTAGCACATCTCCAAATATAATGCAAATATAATACCAAATATAATACAAAAATTATAGAAGTTGATATAATTTTTAGGTGTAAAATTTAATCCATTAATGTATTCACAATCACGAATAGCATGGTAAATTTTAAGGTTATATGCTTACTCTAGATGGTCTAGAACGTGAAGAATCTTGATACATCCGATCGAGCCAATTTACTGCTACGCGCTATGATGTAGATGCGAAATTAAAAACTAATAAGGATGATACTAAAATCTGCATGAATAATAAGATGTATTAGAAAAATCTGACAAGTTATTAGACAAAAAATAATAAGTGTCGAAGTGATTACCCAAGGACATGATAAGTAATAATATAAAGACCTGGTACTTAAATAAGCAGGAGATTCATCGAAGCCCAGCAACTCTTCATAAATAAGCCTCAGTGTGTCTCTAGGACAGTTTGGTATTAAGCTATTCAAGCAGACGAAATTTTGCATCTGACTTGAGTTATTATTTATTTAGATAATTTCGTTGACTAATGCTTGGGAAGACTTTCATTTCTTCCAATTCAAGTCATCTAATTTCATTAGAAACCTAACGTCCCTTTCGCAATGGTTGAGTGAAAGCTTAAAGCTATCTAAGTTTTCCATATTATGTTGCCGAAATGGCAAAATAGTCATCCATATATCTTACCAACTACTTAGAGAATATAATGCCTCTTCCAATAAGTATTCCTCAAGTTTGGTCAAGTAGATGCTTGACCAGAGGTAAGGTAAGCGTCATTCTATCTCAAGTGCTTGTATCTGTTCATAAAACTTATCATCAATGTTAAAATAAGTGCTAACAATGGATAGGCTAGGTAGTCTAAAAATGGAGGCTATGCTCAATCTTATTCCTTGTGTAATTTCTGGATACTTCTCCAGAATTTTTAATGGAGCCTGAGTGGATCCTTGAACAGGAACACAACATCAAAGCATAATAATCTAGCTTCCTTTGAAATTATCTGCTGGGTAACTAATTTTGGAAACTCGTAAGAATATTAGACTGAATAAAGCTAAAAGTCAGCAGATTTCCTAAATAGTATGCAGAAAAAACATAAGATTTTATGCATCACGCTTTCTGTATTAGTTACAATAAATGTAAAAGGAATCACCCCACTATGTGCAGCTTATGAAGAAGGTCTTAAGCCTCTCGGGTCCTTGCATTTCTCTGGAGTAGTTAATTCATTTTCCACTTCTCAATTACTTAAGCATATCCTTCAGCCTTGTTTTAGTCTCTCAGTTGGATCTATCATTAAAAGCAAATAAGTATCACTATCATTTAAATGAACTAGAATTTTTTCTACATAGCTTGACCTATTCAGGAACACCCTTGCCCCATCTGTCGGCTTTTACAAAAATTAGATTATTGCGTCATAAACATCCAGAAACCTTACTGAAAGAGCAAGATTTGATTGGCATGATTGCCTGGTTAAAATGAGGAATCACCTCCAGCCCACTACTATTCTTGCCCTCCTTAGACAATCTATCCGATAAGCTAATTAATTCAATAAGTATGTTCAGGAAATGATTTACTTAGTTGTAAAAGCAAAATTCAATCCACTTTTCAATAAAAGTTTCACACTATCCTCTAGTTTTACTGGATAAATAATTGCCCTATCCTGCTCAAAGTTATTAAAAACATGATAAGTACACTTTACCACGGGCACAAAATTCCTCGAATTAATCATAATTCCTAAGTTTCTGAGGGTTTTATCATCTATCCGCCTAGTTGTCCTATTCGTGGCCTTACCTTGTATTAAAGTATTTTGAAGCTATCTTCTATTCAAGAATACGCTCATTATTTTGTAAACTAACTTTTGGGTCAAAGTTGACAGCATGATGAAGGTGCATGATGAAGGTGCCTTTCCAGTTGAGTGTTTGACTAGAGAAACAGGTTAAGTTGCTACATAAATGAGCTCGAAAAACTGTTCAACAAGGGGGCATAATTAAAACCCAGTTTAAATAAGTTGCAAAAAAAGAATTTAAATGAAATAAACTAACTAGTTGCAAATCAATCAAGTTAAATGGAAGAAGTCTCTGAGACGGATATAGCTGCCCTCGCTCGAAGTTCGACTCATTATCTTCCTCTCCTGATAAATGACCCTGTGGCAAAGAAGAATTTTTGGGCAGTCGAGGTCCAATCAACGTTGAATCTGTTTCAGTTGAGGAACTAGATGTTGAACTTGATGAAGTCGCACCGCCAGAAGTCTTTTTAAAATAGGAATTCGTTTTAGTTTTGACTTTATCGGAGGTGGTACTCGACTCCGATGATAGCGAAAGACTTGAATGATATTTTCTTGACCGCCAACGTCTTGATTCCTTGGGCTCGCTTGTACGAATCTTCTGTTCAGTTACCCTCTCTTCTTCACTTTGATCTGAAGGTAATGAAACATCAACATCATCATTGGCAGCGTTTGATCGGTGATGAAAATTGTGCAGCTGACCTTGCTCTCCATCGGTTAAAAAGACGATTATTTGAGCTGAATCAGAAGCTAAAGTATGAGAATCATTTGAAGCTCCTATTGAAGGATTTCCTTCCTGGAAATTCGAGAGAATGAATTATTATTAAATAGAAGAATTAAATGGATCTTAGGTTAAAGTCAAATAAATGAGAATGTTATTGATAATAGAGCTACAAAGTATAACATATATAGGAAATGAAAACGTAATGAACAAGGCTAAGTGAAATCCAATAGCCCAGTGCGTCTTTTGATCCTTTGCCTATATTTGCATACATTTCAGGCCAGAATAGACGGTCAGCAATAAGGCCTATTCACGCCATGGTGTCAAAATTTAACCATTAATACTGCGTCATCTGATTCAACCTAGAGTAAATACAGTCAAAATTGTATATCTACATGAAGTTTCGTAGCCTTAATCTAAGTAGGACACATATGGTTAGATAAATAGGGCATACTTATCGAAGTACAAAAAAATGTGTATGAAAACCTTTTTTGAAATTCCAAAATGTAAATATGCTCATGTACAAAAACTAAGACAAAAGGTGAACCTCAACGATGATGAGAATTGCATATCACAATTCTGTTGATTGAACGGGTTTCGTGAGACACTTACGATTGAAAATCCATTATACTAAAGTAAATAAGTACAAATAAGACAAATTATTGCTTTTAATCAAGATGAATTGAGATCAACTTGAGGTTGATGATGTAGTAATTTGGTTTGCAAAGCTATGCTAATTTTTTTTTAAAAGGGCAAATGCAATGTCGGTCATAGTAATCTATGCGGGAG